ATTCTGATCTTTAATTAAATTAATTATTACAACCTATATTACGTATAATAAATATGCTAGCTTATGAATCTTTATAAATACATACGAGTCTATCATGTATACGAACATATGACACCATGTAGTTATTAAATTTATTAAAAATTATGCAAATTTTATTTTGAAAAATCTTAAAAGACTGAGAGACGCCAAAATATTTATCATAATTGCCTAAATATTTTTTTTTTGAATCATTTTTTATAAACAGATTCTTTTTCTAGTTTAAAACACCGAAACTAGTTCTATTTATTTGAAAAAAAAAATCAATTCAATATAAATTTGTTAAAACTATATAGAAAAAAGTGTTTACATAATTTTCAATTCTGTTAGATTCTAAGAAATGTGCTTTAATTTTAGGTAGGAGCTAGAAAGCACACGAAAAAAAAAATAATAAACTTGTTTCAATTTCAATTTTGATAATGTTTTTATACTCATTAACCCTTTATTGGCCAACACTGAAAATTTTTTTTAGATATACATACTTATATTGATTGTTTTCAATTTGTTCTGAGTCCCATTCACATTTTAGGATAAATCGTGCACAACACATAAGATGTTGTAAAAGAGTTTAAGAACCTTTTGCCCATTCAAAGTTGCTATTTTTTCAAATTCGATTTCATATTTTTTTTAAGTTTCAATTAAATATTGTATAGAGTTAAAGAGTTCAAAATTTCTTTTATTGCAAAAGAAATAAAAAATAAAATTAAAATTTTATGATTTTTCAAAAATTTTTAATAGTTAAAGAATATTGACAAGAAATGAGGCGCGTGTATCTTAATGTTTATTAAATCTATATCGATTTCTTTTTAATATGGTGTACCTATGATACATAAAACTAATTTTAAAATGAATAATTATCACTATAAAAAATTTGTATTCTTATTTAATGTTATCAGATAACCTTTTCAAGATGACAAATTTGTTTTATATTAAATGACCACATGACAGAGGTAGCAGAATTTGGCGTTTCCCAAACAAATTAAAAAAAAATATGTAACACATAAACAATAATTTGAAGATCAAAAATGGAAGATAACATTACCACACATATTTTGAATAAACGATAAAAATTTAATTGTGGCTTTTATATAATGTAAGCGTGTTGTCTATTAATCTTGAATAAAATATTATTATATTTATAATTCTTTTTTGTAAGATCGTTCAAAGAAATTTAAACGAGTCTTGTACAAAATGAAAATGTTCAATGTATAACCAAAATATAAGAAGAACAGTATTTTTGCGGTTGTTTTTTGAAATTTTATGTAAGAAATTAGTATTGTAAATGGAAAAGACGTGGTGGAAATAAAAATGAATTACGAATCCGTATATATATTTACGAGGGATAACATAATTACAGATTCGTCCAAGCGCCAACTTCCATAAAGTCCCTTTTCCCACAAGTGATTTTCCAGTCTGCAATGTCAAGTGAATAGGCCGTCCAATTTGATTTCCACTCTTTTTGCAGGAATGAAGAGCTTCGTCTGTCTCATTACCAACATCCGGTCTCAACACTGTTGCTGATGGAGCAACATTCGTTCGGCCTCGTACGCCTTCATATAACAATTCGACAGACCACAGAAGGTCAAAACAATAGCCATCGTCGCTCCTGACCTTGAAAAAGTATCTGCCTTTTCGTTGCCATAAATACTCACATGCGCCAGGATCCATGATCAAGCTTCTGAATCGCCGTTTGACTATCCGAGAATATGTGAATGATTTTGCTCATGTGTACAAAAGGTCGAAAGGAAAGACCTCTACCTGGAAATTTTATTTAATCTTAGTACTTCCTAACGCACAAACGAAATTTTATACTTTGTAATAATGCGACTTGACTGCTCGAGTATCTTGCGACCTATTAAAAAAAGTTTTATCCATCCATAACGTTCTATGCAGCGGTTTAAGTATTTAAAATGTAACACCCTGTATATAGAATACAATTATTAATGATAATATGATTGGACGTTAGATACAAAAAATCTGATGTGGTCAGCACATAACCGACCGCATTGTGTATTGTCTAGTTAAATGAAAGTGTTACAGAATATTATAAAAATGTCTGTTAAATACTTCTTTCCAATTTTTAGGACATTAGTAAGCTTATAGTTAATATACTTAGAAAAGTGTAAATTTGGCTCTTAGTAGAGTTTCGCTTTGTGCTACCCGAATTACCTGAAATGCTAGCCAGTTAGTTTCGGTAACAACCAAAACTCAAATATCAAATTTCAAGAAATTCCATCAATTTGTTCTGTGGATATGGTGAAAAATATAAAATCGGCCCGCAAATCAGTTCTCGAGCCCTGATCTTTCCAAAAAAATTATATGTTCATTGTTTTAATACGAGGAGTTCATATATTAAATTTTAATGAAATTGGTTGATTATTTCTCTTTATATAAACAAAAATGTATATTTGGCCCGTAGTAAACGTCTAGTTGCCGATGCCTGATTTCTTCCAAAACATACGAATTTTTGCGGACGGTCGAGCTGAGCTTATATATAAAATTTCAAGTAAATCGGTTGAATATTTTCTTCAAAATGTTCAAAAATGTAAAACAGGCCCGCTAAAAAGTGCAGTTCCCGAGGCCTGATATATACCAAAAGTTGATCGATCCGTGCCATGGTGGAAACAAACTTACATATAAAATTTCATCAAAATCGGTTCAGCCGAACTTGAGATACACGCGTGCACACACAGACCGACAGACCGACAGACCGACAGACCGACAGACCGACAGACCGACAGGTTGCTAAAAATAGTTTATTTACACTTCCCTACTATGGAGAAGTACGTTCCCACCGAAAACTCGATATGCAAAATTTGTTGCCATCACATAACCTACCTATTGTTTACACAATACGGTCGGTAAAAAAGAACTGTCAAATATATGATAAATTGCCAAAATCTGATGCAAATTTGCATAACGAGCTGCTATTTTTTATTAATAATTCTTTAAAACTAATATTAGTTTTTTTTTTTAATTTTTTAGCTTATTTTAATTAATCTAAAAGAAAGCTTAAAAATATTTCCGTTCTATTTCTTCGTCTCATTATACAAAACTGGTGTAGAAATATAATATTTTAATTGTTTGTTTTACTGTCCGAATAATTTAATTTTAACTAATCATGTTATACGGTATTGAATATTCATGACAGCTACTTTCATTATAAGTAGATTTCAATAAAATAATCTACTTAAGTATCTAATTTTTTTTTCCATAATATATGATAAAAATTTTAATATATTTTAAAATTAAATTAGAAAATTTTGACTAAAAAACCCATGTTGCCGGACCGCTCATTTGCAACAATAGTTGCATAACTCAAAAAATACGATTTCTGAGTAAATTGTACAAATACTTAAAATATATTTTTGTGCAAAAACGTCAATTAAAACTAAAAAATTTTGGCTTATTCTAGTTCATAAAGTATTGCTAGAACGAAAAGAAGATATTAACTTAAAAATTTTAAAATGAAATGTTTTCAAAAGTGCAAATTTTGAGTTGTGTCAGTGTTACATTAAACAAGCGATATTTTTTTAATATAAATGCCAAGGTTCTTTCCGTAAAGAGAAAAATATTAAAATTTTTGGGGATATGACCTTAAATTAATTTTTCAAATACATAAATTTCGGCTGTATCCATTAAACGTTATTAATTCAAAGTTAATTTTGTTGTTGAGTGGTTTTGTAACTATGAAGAATAAAATCTTAAGAAGTCTTAATGGACAACATTATTTTAATCACTTTACAGACATATAATGTTGCTATATTAAAAAATATATTTTGATTATATCTTATTTTTCTCATTTCAAATTTAAATAGTAAAAATGCTCTCTTTTTTGACACTTGCAGGTAAATGTAATCGGTTATTTAATTTAATACAATAACAATGGTTTTTCTTAATTAAATGTTGTAAATTTTGGACCTAAAACCTTATATGTGCACATAGACAATATAATGTCTATAACGACATCTACATATATCCACATTAAAATTTTCAAATTGAAATATTAATTTGCATTTATTGATGAATTAACATATAATGTATAAAATTCAGAAACGTGCTGTGTTATACCGCAAATCTTCAAAAAAAAAAATTTATAATTTAATATGATCAGTTTGAAAAAAAGCTCAACATAAGCACGCCAATAATTTATACATTTTTTTTTGTTATCTTATATACACTGAAGCAAAATAAGAATATTTTTTAAAACAAAACAGTATAATAAAAAAAAAATTAAAAAAAATACTAGATATTCTAAAGCTAAATGATGGACGATGATATGACCCGCCAAAGTATGACCAAAGTCAGAGTATATAAAAGCAAATTGTCTGATTTAAAGATGTTTCAATACTTTACAGAAGTTCCTTCCGTTCAGATTAAAATAAAAAATTCTTGTAACTTGATTTACAAAATTTTTTAATTTATTTTTTTATAGTTGTTTTTGTAATTCTGTTTTGGTTTTTTTGTTTTGCAAATTAATTTTGTTTGGTTTTCACTTATAAAAGTTTTAAACAGAAACGATTACTTAAGATCATATTATATAACTGTTATATAGTATAATATAATAGTTATTATAGGATCGTTTACGCGCAATTTTAAAATTTTAATAAAAAGAATTTCAAAAAGGAAAAAGCAAAATATAAAATGAAAAGAATATAAAAAACTTAATTAAACATTCAAAGTCAATATTATAAAAAAGGCAAATAAAAGAAAGATTATTATTATTAAAATATTTAACTTAAATAATAAATTTTAAGAGGGGGAGAAAACAATTCATATATTCAAAAAATCGAAAACAATAAAAAAAGAAAAGAATCGAATATTTTGTTAACTATTATTTAAATACTTAGGTATATAGTTATTGATAATTTATTCAAAAATAAGTATACGAGTATATTGGTGACATTAATTCAGTGTTTTTGTATACCAATTGATGAAAAGAACAACATACTCGTATAAAAAAATAATAAAAAAAAAATCAATAGCACAGTGGTGTTAAAATCATTGTTAATTTTTGAGTGATTTCTAAAATAAAACATAAAATATCAAAATATAAAAATTAAATATAATAGAAAGAACAAATTAAATAAAGAGTGTAATAAATATACAAAAAAAAAACAAAATGGCTTTTTTCACAAAAATATCAACAATTACAATTCTTTTCTTATGTATTCTTATAAAAAATAATAATGTTATTGGTAAATTGCATAACGCTTATCATGGTACATGGTGTGATCCAAAATTATGTCATAATAGTGGTGAAAAACATGTTGCTTGCGGTAATACAGGTGTAAGTATATGAAGAAAGTTTAAAATTTCATTCAAAATTTCATTCGTTAGAAAATTTTTTATTATATGCATATTTTTTCATTATTATTTCAATATATGTATGTAGAGTCTTGGATCAAAATGCCCTAGTGATGCTGTTGTAATTGATGTTAAACCATTTAAAGATTATTTTTTACATGAACATAATCGTTTAAGAAATAAAATTGCAATGGGTTATGTACCAGGATATAAATCAGCTGCAAGAATGGCAACAATGGTAAATATTAATTTTTTATTTATTAATATAATGATATTGTAATATATGGGCATATATATTTATATATTCCTATATTAAATACATATAAATTATTGATAAAAAATATAAAGAAAAATTGAAAAAGAAAAAAATATTCAATTTATGTGATAAATGCGTTTTACACGGAATTATTAGTGATTTGGAAAAAATTTTTCCATATTGCATTTAGTTAAAGAATTTTAATGCAAATGATAAAATCAATTTTTCAACAAGTGCTATTTTGTGTACTTAATTGAAAACTTGAAATATTTAAGTAATTTTGAGGGTTATTTCATATACATAAATGAGGTGAACATGTCAATGAGGCACATTTCAGTGCTTAATGAATTCCATAATTTTCAAATTAATTATCTTATTAAAGCATTTCAAAATTAATGTTTTGATTACTATGAAAATATGAATAAAAAGCGGGATAGTTGGGGATTTATACTGAACAAATTAGGAAAAGTAATTCAAACCTAAATAAATTCGTACGTGAATTCCGAATTGTTTTTAAAAGAAATAACATTAAATCCTCAAATTTATTCATATCAAATATTATTTTAAACTCAAACTGATACAAAACACAAATTAAATCTAAAATTAATTTGCCAATATGTATACTTATAATTTTACTTATAGTTTCACTAATAATATTAAAAATTATTATATGCCATAATTTAGGAGTATATTGTTAATATTACCATAAAATGTTAAATTAATAAAAATGACAAAAAATTTACCATAATAGTTTAACAAAAATGTTATTCACAAATCAAATTATTTTGGATATTAGAAAATTAAATGATAATTTATTCATAATAAATTATTTGTAATATTTTAAAATATCATTTGCATTATATATGGGGCAATATAATACTTATTTGTCTATAAGAAATTAGAAAAAAAAATATTGAAAAAAAAAAAGAAAAAAATATTCTAGAAATTTGCATACATAAATAATATGCAGATATAAATGTATATATATATACATTTACAAAATCCACTAAATTCGCATAGAGACAAAAAAACAAACAACGTTCTCCTAATTAATTAAAAATCAATTTTTTATAATATTATAAATAAATAATAAAAACAAAATATAACTCGGTTTCCAAGTTTCTGATGATAAGATTTAGATCTACAACCGTACTTTTAATATAAACATTTAAAACCTTTTTTTTTCTATTTTATGTTTAGCAGGAAAAAAAGTCGTATTATTTCCGTAATAATTGCCGCATATGATATTGTTGCCAATTGTATGTGATAAATAGTTCGATTAGAATAAAAAATAATTTGTTCGAAAATGACTCTGGAAGATGTAAAAATTACCGTATAACAGTTTCATTTACAATTCGTTTTCTTATATTTTTTACTAGCTCTGTAAATTGAAATTTAAATACATTTTTATTATTACATAAAAGCATACTTTTTATTTATTAAGCTACTAATACTACATTTACGTATTAAGCTAAATATTTATTTTTTAAGCTACCAACCTATTTATGAATAACGTAGAAATACATAATTCGTTTTGAAATGTAACTATTTTTTATGAGAAATTACACCTTTTCGGTTAATTTGAAGATGATATAAAAGTGTTTGTTTAACTTCAAATTATTAAATTTGTCTATAATAATTGAATTTGTCTATAATAATGTGATTATAAATATTTTGCATTACATACTAGTTAGTATACATGTCGTATTTCTGTGACAAAATTGCCTTAGCTTAAAAAAACCAATTTTGTGAAAATCCATTGGACACAGTTTTCTGTTATAAAACAGGCGGACTTTAGACTAATTTTAAAATATTTTATACACTTTATATAAAAATATTGGAAATATTGTATTGAAATTTCAAAAATTGTGCTTTTCGAGTTAGTACACTTTTGTCATAGAGGTGTAATATTCACATATATATAAGTATTTGTACTGATTTATTGATTTAAGCTCGAAAAAATTCTAGACAAAATCACATGTTAAACATTTTATTGTATTGACGACCCCACAATTAAATTTCAATAATTGTTGATTTTTCAGAATTTTTTTTTTTGAAATCATTTACGAGGCAATAATAATTTATCATTTTAACTATCATTTTTTTTTTAACTTTTCAATGTTAAATGAAATAATTTTTGCCATAAAGATTTAATTTCTACTCTTACATAATTTCGAAATTTGAATAAATTTTTTTTGAAATGAATTTTTAAAAAATTTAAAAATCAGTCATCGACCTTTTTTTCGTTTTTGTTTTTTCCTTTCTTTGTTTTTTATTGTTTAAATTATTAGCGATAATAAAAATCCTTTTTATTTTTTTTAAATAATTTTGAATTATGAGAATATAGCTATTTAAAATTAAAATTTCTAAATAGATAATTACGTAAAAAGCAAAAGTAAATTTCGAATTAATTAAAATGTAATAAAACACTGGGAGAAAAGGTGAACAGAAATAAGAAAAAATAAAAAAAAAACAATAAAAATAATTCGTGTGGCTCCATTTGGACTAAAATGAAATTTAAATTTTGGGAAATTTTTTTTAAATTTCAGAACAAGAATTTTTTATGGTCTATTGTTCGAAGTTATGATAGTTTGAAAGGTGTCATTTTGTTAATTTAATTAACATTTAAATTATAACAATATTAAATTTGAAATCCAATACATACTTGACGTATGTATATGTCAATGTCATATTTGTGTTTATTACTGTTTTCGTTTATTATCATACAACCAGATCAATAAAAGTAATTTTACAAAAACAAATTTGATTAATTATTTTGGCAACTGAAAACTTGAGTAAATATTTGCAAATAAGAAATGTCATCTGTTTTGTGTACCCATGTATAAAACCTCATGAAATTCTCAATAGAGAACAAGTGTAATAGTAAAATTAAAATTTAATACGTTTTCACTGAATTATTTATTACTAAGAGTAAACTTTAATTAGAGAGTAAAGTTGTCACAATAAATTGAATAGCTTTCATTCGATTTTCGGCAATTAATGAATTAAATTGGATAGTTTTTTATTTTTAAATTACTATGTGGATGAAATTATAGTACCTATACGTGTTTTGAATATTTTGTCACCTAATATCTTACATTGATAATAATCTAAGAGCTTAATATTTTCTTGGAATATTTTAAGACAGTTTATGCAGCTTGATATAGTTATTGCAATATGTTTAAGTATGTCATAATGTCTTCTTAAACTTTTTATAATGATATAATTGGAGGTTCAGAGTTGAATATCGAATTATATATATGATTTATTTTGAAATGAACACGCTTTCTAATGAATTTCATATTTTTAAATTTTATATTTATAGTCATGGGATGATGAATTGGCATATCTAGCATCATTAAATGCAAAAACTTGTACATTTGATCACGATAAATGCTATAATACATATCGCTTTAGAAATACTGGACAAAGTTTAGCTGGTTTATGGAATGCTAAAGATCGTCCATTAAATATGACAAAATTAATTAGTGAAGCTGCAGCTGCATGGTTTGAGGAGCATGAATTAATTGACATGAGTTATATTGATAATTTTAGAATTGAATCAAACTTGTAAGTATATAATAAATTTTCCTTATTAAATTCATTTAAATGAAATTTTGACAAGATATATTAAGTTTGTTGAGCACCACTGTTACATAAAAACAAAAATCAGTATAAAAAGCTTTTTGAAAAAAAAGTTTGCCAAAATACCAAATATTTTTTGTTTTCAATATATTTTTAATTTTAAAAATATTTTTAGAATTATTTTTAATTATACATGATTAAAATAACTTCTTTCCGAAAAAAAAATATTTTAAATTTTCCATAGCTTTGTATTAATATTTTATTATAATTTAATACAGCGGGAGTCTGAATAAAAAGAATGCTAAAACAATGTTTTGAAACGCATCCAAACAAATTATTTAAATGTGAATGACTTTATTGAAATTAAAATACGGTTCGATTCGGCTTCCGATTCAAATTAATTATGAAAAATAAAAAATTTTAGGTATAATAAAAGTATGGTGATCTTAACAGTTTAGAATAAAGTTTATTAATTTATGCACAATAAGACAAGAAAAAATATTTTCGTTGTGAATATTTAAAACAGTTAATTTAATATTTTCGGTTTCGAGAATTGATTCTACATTTAAACTCTTGATTAAGAATAATTCTAAGTTTTTGCATAATTTCAATTATAAATTTTTTGCAAAAGTTTCGGTTATTGAAATGCTCTCACATGAATATCTTTATGTTTAGAATTTAATGGGCGCTAAAACATGATTTTGTATAGTACAAGTGATGTATAAGGTTAATTAACAATTTCATATAATTTATAAATAAATACCCTATTTCTGATTTCTAGAATTAAGATTTACATCATATATAAATGAATGGAAAAATAAAATATTAATCGATAGCCTTATCGAAAACAAGAAAAATTAATAATTTTAGCACCCAGATCAATGTAATTTATTTTAAACGAAACTGGTTTCCGAATATTTTTAGTTAATGTTATTAATTCCCATGTTCTAATGACATTAAGTATATATATTTGCATTTTTTTAATGTTTCTATAATTTTATTAACGTAATAAATTTCAAGAAATCTCCCATTTTTTTTGAATAAAATGAATAATTAACAAAAATAAACAAAGAAATTAAAGTTTTTTGGTTTTTGTTTTTTTTTGGGGGGAAGAAGACAATTCGTGTGTCTTGAAGGTGATAACAATCTTTATGAATTAATCCTTCACTAATGGGAAATTAATTCTTATTCTTTTATTTTTCAATAAAAATAAACTTAAATTTAGTTGATTATGAAAGTTGGTGGAAGGGATTATAATAATCTTATTATTTCTTTTAAATCTTTTTTTTTATTATTTAATAAAAACTCATATTGTTATGAATGAATTTAACTATGTATGGAATTTGGTTGTGAAAAAAATATGTAGTATGTAATACATATTATCGCCCGAAATTATGCAATATTTGCGGATAATTTTTAATTTTAATTCGAATTGATGTTTCAAGTTAAATAATTTCATATGCTCACTGCTTTCTAAAAATTTAATCAGTCGGAACTTAATTTATCTTAAAATACCAAAATGTTGTTAAATACTGTGTTTATTTTATGAAATTCAAATAATAATTGACGTATAAAAAAGTTCTTGTACTCATTTTTTAATTTTTAATTTTAGTGAGGACTATGGACATTTTACAGAATTTGTTGTAGACAGAAATACACATGTTGGTTGTGCTGCTGTAAGATTCTCTGTAAAGGATTATCCATTTTATTATCGTATTAACATTGTTTGTGATTATGCATCTGTTCATTCAAGTGAAACACCAGTATATGAATCAGGTGTACCAGCCTCAAAATGTACAACTGGAAGTAATGCATATTATCCTGGACTATGTAGCCCTCAAGAATATTTTAATCCAAATATATATAATTACGAGCTAATACTTTGAATTTGATGTTCTTTATAATAATTTGCTTTTTTAAAAATGATTTACATTTTAAGGGATTATAAATTAAATATAAAAAAATTGTAAAAAAAAAATAATAACACAAAGTATTACACAAGTAAATTAGATTTAAGGTAGATTAGTTTTTTTTAAATGTATGTAAGTTTATGTTAACGCATTAAGAATGTGATTTTAAAATTGTTTAATATTAGTTATAAATATTAGTTTTAGAATAGCTATAGAATATGATTTTATAAATCATAATACATTGATTATTTTTTAAATAAAAAATATTTTTTTTTTCAAACTTATTATGGATAAAAATATGTATTTAATTTTATCTATTTTTTTAACGAAATTGCATTTTAAAGCCTTTTATTTATTCGTCAACCTTTTTATAAAACGCAGATATTTTTGAAATGCTATGGTTATACAAAAATATTTCAAATGATAAATATTAAATATTAAAGTAATTAGCTGACGTATTCGTATACCTTATGACAAAGGCTCGTTCAAGTAAGCTTTCTCATATAGACTTATTATATAAAGGTGTCTGTTGCAAGCTTGGTGTAGATAAATCTTTTTATCTAGGTGTGAGATAACCATATAATCTATATCCCACAATATTTTTGATAAATATTTTTAAATTAATTTATTTTATTGTTTTGAATGAAGGTTTGAGGAACTAAGATTAAAAATTTGTATTACAATTTATTGATTAAATTGATATTTTTTACAAATTAAATTTAATATGATGTTTTTGATAAATCGTTTGAATTACACATATCCAATGTTATTAAATTTCAATAACTTTGTTTCATTGCGAGATTATGTATCGATACAATAAACTTGTATTTGTACTTCGGTACATAACAAAATTAAAAAAAAATTAACAATAAAAGAAAATAATAAATTTAATATAAATTCTAACAAAAATGTATAAGTTGAGTAATAAAAAAACTTAAAAATTAATTCAGATTTATAGAATTCCGAACACTATTCGGTTTCATAACAATTTGCTTTTCCCTAATGAAACTATTAGAATCGAGTGTTTGTTCAGTATTTATAATTTTGTATAAGGTTGTTTTGATAGTCAAACAGAGAAAACTGACTATTTTTTATTTTAAAACAAATATTTTTCCAATATTAAACTTTTTAAGGAATGACGAAAGATCGGCAAATATAGCCTTTCATGTTACGCTTTAATAAATTTTTTAATTGACCGAAGCAAAATGCAATTTTATTTCTTTTATTTTTATTTGTATATAATAAAAACTTGATAATATTTTTCATAAATTACTTTTACAATGCTAAATTTTAAAAATTATAATTTATCTTTAAAAAGCTTATATTTATGAAATATATTTTATAGTCAAAAATCTTTGATTACAGCCACACATTTTATAATTTTAATTATTTTGACTCAAATGTGCAAAACTCCTAGAAAACAAAACTTTTAAATAAACAACATATAATATACAAATAATAATGATAATAATAATTATTATTAAAAATTAAGATCTTAAATCTAAATTAAAGTAGATTTTTAATTTTTATTAAAAAATTATCGTCCTTATCTAAAACAAATTAAAAAAAAAATTTTTTTTCTTAAAAAAAATACATAATATGCTAATTTTTTAGCTATGATGATGAAATTTTGCAAATTTCATCAAAATCACATTTTTCGAGACTATTTCTAAAACTATGCTTTATTTGTTTTAAATCGCAAAGATCGCTGTCCTTTGGACAGCCTGGTAAATGAACTACTTTTTCCTGGTGTAAAACTAAAATTTTATAGCTTTCATCTTCACAACTAAAAATAAAATATTAAATATCAAAAAGGCTTCCATAAAATAACTTTCTTATTCTTCTTTTACCTATATGTAACAAAAGCTATGTTACTCGCAAAAGCATCGATTTCACTTGTTTTCCATTTGCGCTCTTTTAAAAAGTCTTTGTGTGTTAGCACAAAGTTATCTTTATGAAGTCCCAGATGCGACAAAAACTTAAGTATGGTTCCAGAGTGCGTAAAATAAAACGTTGCGTTTGGGTATGAAGAATTCGGACTGCAATAATAAAAAAGTTAATTAACGTATTAATCAAAAAACGAAATGTTTCTGATACCTAATATGAGAAAACATATCTGAAAACGCTGAACATGCTTGTTTATGTGTTAATTCGTAGCCATAACCATCAATCCAATAATATTCAAGATCTCTGGCAAATTCAAGGATTTGTATGGTTTCATCATCAAAAAGTGTACACCACGGTGAAAATCGTCTTTTATACCACGCAAGCTCAAAGGCACACACCGTGTAAATTAACTGGATGTCATCTAAAATAATACGGAAGTGTTTTAAAAAAGATTAATTAAAAAGATAACCTAATCAATCATAAATTTTGTACGCCTAGTTTAACTGATAAAGAATTATGAGGTTGAACTGAGAAAATAACAAAAAACACAAAAAAAATACCAACGCCTCTTTGTTATTTAATTAGATTTTAATCAAAACATTGGTGTATTTATAATATTGTAGATGGATATTAAAAAGATAAGAGTTTAACGGTTTAAGATAACAAAATAAATAATTTGAACACACGTAATAGATAAAATGTCGTCATACAAATTATCCTATATTAAGTAAAACAAATAATTACAGATAATTGCTAAAAATTATTTTGTGTTTCAAGATTTGTAAATAAAAAAGAGAATTGCGTAAAGTGGTGTATGCTCACCTGATGTGATTCCTTTGACTCCTGTTTTATTTACCATATATTTTATGGCTTTTTTCATTAAGTCACTTTCCATGAATTTTTTTGTTTCAATAAGAGATTTTGGATTTTTGTCAACATCCAATTTCCATTTATCACAAAGTTTATAAAACTAAAATGATAAAAGACATTTGTTTTTCCGACATAAATCATTTGAAAGTTTTACTTACTCTTAATATTGGATCTCTATGCATAGGTTCAGGGTAAGTAATACTATCAGTATTGTATCTGCCAAAGAGGCCAGTGGCAAAACTTTCTGCGCTTCTTAAAGTTCTTTGTGTCGCTGTATATTTAAATTTGTAATGATCTGGGTCGTAGTAGTCATATAAAACTTCTGGAAATCGATTTTGCATTCTTGCTGCTAGTTCTATCAGTTCCATTTCTCCTTCATATACTAAATATTTTTCTTCACTTTCTCCTAAATTGAAATTCCAATTCCTAAACAAAGATAACTCTTTTTCGCATAGTTTGGTCTTTTGCGATGATAATATACGTTTCCGCAAAATACTTAAATCATTTTTAGCCTTTTTGATTACTTTTTTACTCGGATTTCTAGTACCATGTCTTACAATAGACCATATCCTTATAGGGACGCAACCTGAAATTGAAAGTTTTATCTGCAATGACTTTATAACCTTGACATTCCTTCAATACGCAGTTTCAGTAGAAGAAATACCACGTTTATATAAATTTATTTTATTGTTTACTCACCTGGATAATTTAATTGGGAATCATTTCGATTTGCAATTACTCTGTATGGAGTTTTTGTTGCAAGATGACTTTCGAGAGCTGTTTTGGGTATTTTTGTACATTCGTTGATATGATTCCCGCCCCAAACCATAAAAAATAGATTTCCCAATAGCACATATTTAAAAAATGTACTTAAATTATTCATTTTTATACAAATTTTCTACATTTAAATAAATGTTGTGTCTAGTTGAAATCCGAAATTTGATATTAAAATAAAAACTTTTCTGACCAATACAATTAATTAAGAAGGCAAACATTAAATTAAAGATGATTTCAATACAATTTACATCAGAAACAGACAAAGTAAATATGTGCTTTTAAAGTTAATGAACTAAAAAATTTTTTTACAAACTGTAACGTGCACAATCTAAAATTCTTAAAATGCTACGAAAACATTTTTTTCCAATTTTTTATTTTTTCAAGGCTAAGTGCACAAAAATATGAAATTTTATACCGAACACGATTTTTATGCCCTTAAAGTTTTCTTCTATTTTTCTTTAGAAACTTTGATGGGCAACTATCTTTCTTCATTAATAACTTTCATCTGACTACAAAATAAAAACAATAATATATTATAAGTAAATTTTTATAGACGTTATTTGTTTAATTTCCCAAAATAAAACAAAAACTCATGACAACAAATGAATTGTCAAAATTAAACGCATATACCTATTGACATTTTTCTTCATATGATTTTGGCAGTAAGTAGTATCGATAAGGTAGTTTAAATTAACAAAAAAAAAAAAAAATCAAGAGTTGCCAGATATGAAATTCATATTTCAATATGAAATTTTTATGTAAGTAAAATGCAAGAAAAATATTTTGAAAGTACTTCGAAATGGAATATTGTTTGTATCGATAACTTTTTCAAACGCTATATTATTCTGAAGAATAATATAGGGTTTTTTTTTTTTAAGAATGTTTAATTGAAGTTACTTACATACATATGGGACCCAAAACCGCACTGTCACCACCTAGTGGTGGGCCCCGGTAATGGCGGAGGATAAAGGGGTGATTGAAACGATCAAAGTTACGTTCGGGTCGTGGTCATGTCTCGCGGCGAGCCTCTTGCTTTGTGAGTTTCAGCCCTATATCTATACGTCAGCTGACGACAGGCGTCCCAAGTCAAGGTGGAACAGCATATGCCGATGACTGCGTGGCTAAGGGGGAGCTTAGTCGTTAGTATGAGGACTCTGGATACCAGGCGCCCTCCAGTTTAAACGAGCCTTCCCATGGTATGCCAAGCTCTGCCATGGGTGACTTTACTTTCCCGCGCTATTCGTGGGACCAAGAATGGAAGACAATCTAAACAACAATAACAGCAAAAACAACAACAACAAGAACAACTGTGACAAACACGACAACTGCAACAAAAACAACAACAACAACAATAACAACAGAGACAATTACAACAACAACAACAATACTAAGGACAGCATAAACCCAGTTAGTGCTCCAGAGTCTTCAGAACCAGAGCTTCTCTTGACTGACGCAGAGGAGGAACTCCTTCTCACACCAGTAGAGGAAAAGGTGGCGCCTCCGATGGAGACGGATAATCAGGATCCTCTTGGACCTATTATCCAACAAACTGAGGAGGACCTGAAAAGGTTGGACATCAGGGGAAAAAAACAATATTTCTCTGGTGCATCCAAGCGGCGTATCGCGGCTTATATCAGGGATGGCATGTCCCCAGAGGAAGCTCGCAGATATGAGAAGGAAAGGCTGGAAAAGCTGAAGGCCTGCGGATCGGATGTTGTGGCCGACCATACCCAAAAGAGGGAAAGGTCGGAAAGCAACACCCCTGATGCAGGGCCCTCAAAGAAGAGGTCGATGAAGGGCGATGTTGAGGAAAAGGTCCCTGGGAACATTGACTTCTTATCGGGATGCAGTAGCACAGGTCAAGGTGGCCATCACTCATAGACTGTATCCAGAGGAAAAGCTATCCGAAGTTCAGATGGGGAAAATCAAAGTAGCCATCATGGATGAAATGGATAAGGTTGTGGACTCTCATCCACAATTCACTGCAGCGTTGCAAAGGGACGGATGGATATCCGTAACATGCAACAATCAAAACACCAGGGAGTGGATAACCTCTGCAGGAAGATAAAGCCTTGGGACGGTTTCGACGTCGTGGTACTGGATGGCGACGACATGCCCAAACAGCATGTCTGCGTCACCTACGTACCAAAGGACGAGGCAACCGTCAGTCTCTCCAGGGACAAATTTCTAAGTAGGATAGGGAAGCAAAATCCCAGCCTCAAGATAAGTTCCTGGAGGGTGCTGAGGATGGATAAGGAAAAGGACGGGGGCTGCTCCATCACCTTTCCCGTGGATGATTCCGGATTGGAAGATCTACGGAAAGGAAGAAAAACCTCTCAAGGTGCTGGCGGTTGGGGAGGACAAAATAACAAACCAGTGCCCACCGCGACAACGACGAGCACTTCAGGCCAACCAAAAGAGCCAAAACTCATTGGAAAGTCTGAAGTCGCTCCGAAAATGGCGGCAAGGGAAACGGAAGGACCATCGACCAGCACGCCAAATACAAGCGTCCCGGGTTGACCAAAAGGGCTCAAGCCTATTGGGAAGCCTGGAACTGCTTCGGTGTTTGCTGCTGGAGGAGCTAGCGTGGCACCTGGGACGGCAAAAGAGGCTGTGGCTGGGCAGGCGCCCACCAAGATGTGTAAAAAGGCAGCAATGGGAGGTAAGGCTCATGTAAAGCCTTTGTCTAAAGGGCCAAAGCCCACAGACAAGAGCCGGAGGAAATAATATGGCTGTGAGGTGCACCCAAATAAATCTACAGCATGCTAGGGCATCTACTGATGTTCTAGCTCATAGATTTATGAAGGATCACCTCGATATCGCCCTTATCCAAGAGCCTTACATAGTGAAGGATCAGGTTAAGGGCCTAACAGGTGAGCTATTGTATGATAATACAATTGGGGGCAGGCCTAGAGCTTGCATTTTGTTTAGTAAAAGGCTAACGTATTTTCCCATTCCGGATTACTGCTCTAAGGATCAAGTAGCTTCGTTGGTGAAGGTGAAGTCCTGCGGGGGCTGGACAGAGTTCATTCTGTGCTCATCCTACCTCCCGGGAGACTGTGCCCACCCGGACGAGCAACTGAAGGATCTAGTGGACTTTTGTGGAAGGAGGAACTTCCAACTTATAATAGGAAGTGATGCCAATGCCCACCACACCGTCTGGGGAAGCAGCAATATAAACAAAAGAGGTGAGTGCCTACTTGAATTTATATATAGCAATAAATTAATGAATATGAATGAGGGCAGGGAGGAAATTCATAAATGCAATTAGGGAAAAGGTCCTTGACATCACCCTTCGCACTGAATTTATCGGCAGTAGGGTTGGTGGATGGCATGTCTCAAATGAGACATCCATGTCCGATAATAGGCAGATTAGGTTTGATATCATGGTCTCCGGGGGTCTGGCAGAAGAAATTTATCGGGTGCCCCAATCCACAAATTGGAGTCAATTCGAAACGCTCCTCATGGATGGGGTTGGATCCGTTCCTGCTTCTGTCAGAACGGTGATGGATATCGAACTGGCCAGCGAGGCCCTGATGGCGGCTATTACTAATGGGAGCTGCCGCGCTAAGCCGAGGCGGAGTAATAGGAAGTGCCCGTGGTGGAATGAAGAGCTTTCAAGGCTTAGACTAAAGACCAGAAAGCTATTCAATAAGGCCAAGGCGTCGGGTTCGTGGGAAGAGTATAAGGACTCACTCACAAGATACAATAAAGAAATTAGGAAAGCGAAGAGAATCTCGTGAGGGCGTTCTGCAAGGGCATTGATGAACTCTCCAGCAGTGCGCGTCTTCACAGGGTGCTTTCCAAAAAGTATGCTAGCGGGTTGGGTCTAATGGAACGTCCTGATGGCTCCATGACTGAAACCGGAAAGCAGACGTTGGAGCTTATGGCGTCAACTCACTTTCCTGACTCGGAGATTCTTCGGATTCGGAATCACTCAAATGCGGTCATCGAACCGAGGGCATCCTGGCCCAGGAGGGATGACTGGCAACGATCCCGTCTAGTCTTCACGATAGGCAGGATTAGATGGGCTGTTTTATCTTTCAGGCCTTTCAAATCTCCAGGTGATGACGGGATTTATCCTGCATTTTTGCAGAGGGGGTCCTTGAAAACTCATTGAATTGCACAAACGAGGGATTGATGCAACGACTAGCAGATGGGTTAATCGGATGCTACAGAATAGGATTATTAAGTTCACCATAGCTGACGATATACGCTTCATCTACCGGGGGGTGTGTCTGGGGATACGCCGACGATGTGGCCTTCGTCGTGCGGGGAAAATTTGAGAGCACTATTTCTGATCTTCTACAGCAAAATTTACGTGTTGTGGAAAGGTGGTGCAAAGGCGTTGAGTTAAATATAAATCCAAGCAAGAGCACTTTGGTCGCCTTCACAAGACGCAGAAGCAAGGACAGATTAACGAGCCCAATTCTGTTTGGTGAACGTATTAGTTACTCGAGGGAGGTGAAGTATCTGGGGGTAACCCTGGATGATCGTCTCTCTTGGAATACTCATATAGATAGAGTTATCGGGAGAGCTACGGCGGCCTTGTGGACGTGTAGGAGCTTCATCGGCTAGGCCCATCGTCACCTATGCGTCGATTGTATGGTGTCGTAAGGCTCAGCAGGCGGGTGTGCGAGCCAAGCTGGAAAAGCTACAGAGGGTGGCCTCCCTGGGAGTGACCGGGGCAAAGCGGACGGCTCCCACCGCTGCATTGGAGGTGATAATCGGATTGCCGCCACTGCACCTCCATATATTGCAGGAAGCTCGGCTAGTGACTTACCGACTTCTCTCTGGCGAGGACGGGGCAGGGCTAAAGTTGGCCCACAGAACTCACAGAGACTTCATTGAGGGCGATCCGATTCTAAGAATAACCATGTCGGATACCTGTCTGCCGCGGTACAACTTCGACCACAGGTACAGGGTTCTGTTTCCCGATCGATGGACGTGGGATCGGGGTGGTCCGGTACTTAGGTCGGGTTCGAGCGTGTGGTATGCGGACGGGTGTGGGTTCGGGCGTATACGGTGTCCGCCCGGACAAGCGTGTATATGCAACCCTTGACCCGTATTGCACAGTGTCCCAGGCCGAAATACATGCAATAGAGATCTGTCTGAGAATCAATTTGGAAAGGGGGTATAGAAACCGCACCATCTATGTGTTCTCAGACAGCAGGGCTGCACTGCTGGCGCTCCGTTCAGCTCAGGTTACATCCAAGCTGGTCTGGAACTGCCTTGCTGCACTTATGGAATTGGCATCGGAGAACAGAGTGACGCTCATTTGGGTGTCGGGCTATAGTGGCCATGGGGGCAACGAAGTAGCCGATGAGCTCGCGCGGAGGGGATCTGGGGCTGCCTTTGTGCAGCTGCTGCCTTTGTGCAGCTGCTGCCTTTCTGCGGTCTGCCTTCTTCCGCCGTGGGGGCCAGGCTTGCCTGCCTGCTCGCGGCGGAATGCGGCCGTCACTGGCGGGACACGAAAGGGTGCCGTCATGCGAAAGTGTTTCTTTCGGCGTGCTCCGGCGGATTCGCCGCGGAGTTGCTGGGGATGAGCAGGAGCCGGGTTCGCACTATTGCGAATTTCTTCA